CTAGAGTGGCTTTAGTTTTTGTTTCTCTTACCTGATATACGATTTGTTCTTGAAAATTGGGTGCAGATTGTTTTGAAACTTATTGCTGGAAACTCAGTTCTAGCTTAAGATGGATACTAATGGAGATGATGATTTCACATTCTCAAGGGTGAGTTTTGCACTAATTTCTTCACGGTTTCACAATGGTAACATGAAAGTTTTAGACTTTATGATTTGATTCATCGTTTTGTTTCATTTTACAAGGTTTCGCCACCAGATAGTGAACTTGTTCTAGAGGCAAAAGATCTTGCATCACATGTAAACGATATTTCCCTTGAAAAGGATGGTTTAGATCATCAAAGCAAGTCTCTGAAACAAGTTTCTCCAATGGAGAAGACAGTAGGTTCTTTGTCTTTCACGGTGATTGATTCGTCATCTTCGAAAAAACAGTCCAATGATTCGTCTGAGAGTCTCAAAACTTCAGCTAAAAAGCCTATAGCTCGTACCAAAGTTCCATACGAAAAGGGTTATAGCCCAATGGATTGGATGAAACTTACACGAATACACCCCGATCTTGCAGGTAAAAAAAGCTTTCTCTCATCAGTCTTCTTTTCCTAAATACATCTCGATGTGTTACATGACAGGACAGTTTTGTTCTGCAGGCCTGAAGGGAGAGTCAAACAGGAGGCTTATTTCGATGGATGAAGTAAAGAAGCATCGATCGGGAGATTCGATGTGGACTGTTTTGAAAGGTCGTGTGTACAACATAGCGCCTTATATGAAATTTCATCCTGGAGGCGTCGATATGCTGATGAAAGCTGTTGGAAGAGACGGTACGTTCTTGTTCAACAAATACCATGCTTGGGTCAATTTCGAGATCTTAATCGAGAAATGCCTGGTTGGAGTTTTGGATGATACCAAATCGAAGAAGCAAGAAGCCTAATAACCTGCTACTAAACGGGTGAGATTATCATATACACGTATAGACGATTCATAAATTCGATAAGAATTTCTTAGTGCATTTATACACTTTGATTCTTCAAATCACAATATGTTCTGTGTATTAGACTCTTTGATGTCAATAATGGTTAAAAGGTAACCACAATCATTGATCACACAATACAATAGATGTACATTAGATAATAAATTTCGATTCGAGTTATCTTAGTTAGTTACAAGGAAAATAACAAAGTAAATACCGAACATACAAAGCAAAAGGGAAACTAATGAAGGAAAATCAAGCAGACATGCATCCAACACCATAGCGACTGGTCGGAAAAACAAGAAACAGAGCACTGCAAACAATGCCGACCATTAATGGAAAACTCTCCATAACTTGATCGATCTCTTTCTCTTTCCCTGGAAACAAACATCCCGTAACCCTCCGATCCGAAAACGCAATCGCCATAAACACCAAAACGCTCATCACCGCATGAACAAAGTCGTTAACTTTCAACTTATATCTCTCATCAGTCACCGGAATCTCCGCTTCCGCAATCACATCTCCGCCTCCGAATTCAGACGGTGGCGGTTTCATGAACACGGCGAGTCCACGCGGCGTAACGAAACCGTAATAGATTTTACCATCGGAGGCTTTGAAACTATCGGTGAAATGGAAGAAGAAGCAAGACATTGCGCAAAGAAGCAAGAGAAGATGAATCATGAGTGTGTTGATTCCGTTACAGTCTCCGTCACGGTAAATCGAAGGAAGAACCATTTCGAACATCAAGAGTGTTCCTGTTGGGAGGAAGTTGACGAGCATTGATGTCTTTGAAACCGTTTTTTGAACTCCTTGCGCTACAATGCGACGTTTTCGACCTCTTCCTCCTCCTGCCGCTGCTCCTGCCGGAAGTGTAGACAGTGAAGAGATCAAGACTGGTTTCGGAGAACGAGACTGTGGTGGTGATGATGGTTTTTGCGGCGGAGTCGCCGTGTAAACTCTGATTCCGACACTTTCCTCTGTTTTCTCCATTTTCGTGTGTACTTTCTGATTAGAGACAGTTTTCGTCTTGTGTATATATAACCAACCACCAAACCCGTTAAGACTGTAACTGTTTTGTTTATCAGAAATAGGGTAAATTAGTCTTTCCACAATAAACGCTTTTGTCTCTCCAATCAGAGCTGAGGGTAGTTTAGGTATTTTAATTCGAAGGAGAAAAAAAAACCTGACTCGTCTACGATATTGTTACAGTATATAATCAATTTTTGCCAATAATCTAATTTCTTGTTTCTTCGACACCTGTTTCTGAATTTTATTCTCTCTTGTTTTCTTTCTTCGATTCTATGTGGAGACCAAGTTTCAGATCCACCAGGTCTTGTCCATATATCTCTGATTCAATTTTGTAATGGGTTTTCTTTGATTTGCTTGATCGGAGTTCATTAATCAGAGAGAATTCATCAACTGTTTATTTTGTGAAACTTTATGTTTGCAGAGAATTGTAATGATATG